TGTCAGCAGCAGAACTGCCTAGTGAAAATGAGGCCATGAGAGAGATAAAAGAAGCAACGTTCTCAGGGAAGTCAGTTCTCAAATGTTACTTGCCCTCCAGGATTAAACCCACTATTCAAGAATTGGGAAGAGTCATGGGAAGAGTAAAGCAAATACTATACTCCTTGAAGTATAATGGCTCTTTGTCTAACCCTGATGATCCCCAAAGAAAGGTTTGTACTTCTTTCTTGTAGTTAGTTCAATTAATGTTATTAACTTTGTTTGACTTTTGATTTGCTAGGTTTTTCAAAATGCATAAGGTTAAGAAACTTTCTTGCTTGTGCCCTTAAAAATGTGTAACAGATTTACTGTCAGAACAGGAGCTGGGCCAACATCAGCATTTTCTTAATATGAACTCCCTTGAATACTGTGGGGGAGGGGATTCAGATTCAAATCCTGGGACACAAACCAATGTCACTACCATGCTGATCCCTTCAACAATAAATCTTGGGGAAAAGTAGTGTTAGAGCCAATGATGGGCTGACTTTCTGTTTGGGGCCTAAGGGCCAGGTTCATATACTCTCACTCAAAGAGATGGCAGAGGAGCTCATGCAGTTGGATTGAAATGAGTAGGACTATTTGTTCAATTAGGTATGCAACATGAGTAAGGGCATCAAAATCTCATTTCACCTTAGTGGAGAATTTGTCGGGTGGAGGTAGCCTGAAAGGTACAGAACAACCAGGAGAAGGGACTGTCAAAAAGAACAGAAGAAAGCAGGCTGAAAAACTAGGATGCGATTCTGCTGTTAATGTAAATTTAGAGCTGCTATGCAAGCACTTGGCTGTTTTTCCAGGATTATATTTGCATCAGGTCTATATTTTCTCTAAAGAGTAGGAAATGAAAATATGACAGAGCACATCATAATGGGTGTAATGATTGGCAGTGTTTAAAAAAGTGGGAAGCCACAGTCAGGTTATCCCAGGCCAAGCAGTGTATGACTACACATGTTAACACATAACTCCATAATTCCCAAAGCCAGCTCTTCAGAAATTAAAGGGATATAGAGCAATGAGGAAGAGAGAAGGCACAGAGAGCAAGGAACAGATAGAAGAGGTTAGAGACAATGAGGAGAATAAACTATGGTTTGTAGCAAAAGACAGCAGAGAAAAAGGAGAAAGGAGCAGTGAACGGAGATTATGGAAGGGCAGAAGTTTTGCTGCACTGTGTCCAGGTGGAAGTTGCAGGATTAGATGACTAGCAGCAGTCAAGGACTCTGATGAATAGAGGAGTTATACAATGTTCAATCCATTAAAAGGACAGGCCAATAAAGGATTAGATTCCAGATGCTGACCCAGCAGAGTGCAGACCACAATCTAATCATACCTGTCAGTGCTGGAATTATGTACTGGTGTGTCTCAGGCCTGGGATGGCTACTGTCTGTTGGTAAAGCATTGCATAGGAGTAGGAAACAAAACCAGAAAGGACTGAGAGTTAATTTAAGAGAAAATAGTAGGCTATTGTTAGGGCTTTTTTCTTGAATGTTACATTGAATGAATAAACTTGTTAGCTGTATGTTTGTGTGAAGTGTGATCCATTTTGGTTTAACAGATACAAACAATGACAGTTTTAATGTTCAAAAGCTTCAGGGGGTAGCCGAGTTAGTCTGTACAGGATAAACTTAAAAAACAACAAATAGTCTGGTAGCACTTTAAAGACTAACAAAACATGTAGATGGTATCATGAGCTTTCATGGGCACAGCCACCAGGAAAAAACAAACAAACATGAGTTTGATGGAGTCTGGAAGGCTGCACGGTGTGTAGTGATATCCATCAGTAAGCTTTGTTTATGAGCTGCATGGGCACCTCAGGATTAACAAAAACAGGGAGTTGGGTGAAGCAAAATGCAGGACAATGTAGCACTTTAAAGACTAACAAGATGGTTTATTAGATGATGAGCTTTCGTGGGCCAGACCCACTTCGACTAACAGTTGTATTATAGCATAAACTTTTGTGAGCTGAAGCTAACTTTGTCAGATGCATGAAGTGAAAGAAACAACAGGGCTATGGAGATGGGAGTGTTACATCAAAGCGAATTCAGTCAGCATGGATGTGGATAAGAAGGTGAGAGTACCTAAAGTAGAATATTACTCACTGTAATGAGAGACCCATTCTGATCTTGTCAAATTTGCATATTAATTCCAGCTTTCAGATGTGAAGAGGCAGGCCAGTCCTCCCTTACAGACAGCCCCCTAACCTGAAACACATACTCACCACCAACTGTACACCTCACAACAAAAATACAGGTGGCACCTCTATAATCCAGAACTCTCTGTTTCTGGCAACATCTGGGTTGTGTCTACACTGGCAAAATTTTGCGCAAAAGCAGTCACTTTTGCACAAAATCTTGCCACCTGTCTACACTGGCTGCGAGTGCTTGCGCAAGAACACTGATGTTCTAATGTAGGAAATCAGTGCTTCTTGCACAAATACTCTGACGCTCCCGCTCAGGGATAAGCCCTCTTGTGCAACTGTATTTGCGCAAGAGGCCAGTGTAGACAGGCAGTGTTAATTTCCTGCGCAAGAAAGCTCGATGGCTAAAATGGCCATTGGAGCTTTCTTGCACAAGAGAGCGTCTACACTGGCACGGATGCTTTTGTGCAAAAGCACATGTCTTGCGCAAAGGCACGTGCCAGTGTAGATGCTCTCTTGTGCAAATACTTTAACGCAAAAACTCTTGCGTTAAAAGTATTTGCGCAAAATCATGCCAGTGTAGATGTAGCCCTGTTATTTTACTGGGATCAGAGAGTCCCAGCACACTTCAGGGAAGTGAGGGGGCTTGGGAGCCCAGTGCGCTGTGGAGAGGTAGGGTGGGAGTTCAGGAGCCCAGTGCATGACCCAGCTGGGCTGAATGGGGAGTGAGGGGTGGGAGCCCAGCTGGGCCATGAACTGAGGAGGGGGGGAGAATGGGGAGAGTGGAAGCCAGGAAACCCAGCTCATGTGATCCTGCTGGGCAGCCCAGGGGAGCTGGGGGGCCTGGCACCTGGTTCAGCTGGGTTGGGAGGGGAAGAACCAGGAAGGCCAGCACATTGCCCAACTAGACTAAGAGGAAGTCATGGGTGGGGGCAGAAAGTCTGGCATGACCCAGCTGGACTCCTGGGGGAGCTGAGAAGCTGGGTGGGACAGCCGGGCAGAGCGTGGGGCCAGCAATGATCTCCCTTGGTCCAGCAAAATCCCTCATCTAGGACCAGTCAGGTTTTGAGGGTGCTGGACCAAGAAGGTTCACCCTGTACTAACCCAAAATCCTTGTACCAAACCCCGTTGCCAAGTCTGTCCACACATCTTCCCTAGTGACACCACCATAGGATGCAGCCATACCATCAAAGGCTCGTTCACCTGCATATTTAGGCTACGTCTAGATTGCATCCCCTTTTCATAAAAGGGATGCAAATTAGACGTATCGCAATTGCTAATGAAGAGGGGATTTAAATCTCCCCCACTTCATTAGCATAAAAATGTCTGCTGCTTTTTTTCGGCTCGGAGCTTTGCCGGAAAAAAGCGCCAGTCTAGACGTGGATCTTTTGGAAAATAAAGCCTTTTCCAAAAGATCCCTTATCCCTCTTAAAATAAGGGATTTCGCTTAAAATAAGGGATAAGGGATCTTTCGGAAAAGGCTTTATTTTCCGAAAGATCCACGTTTAGACTGGCGCTTTTTTACGGCAAAGTTCCGAGCCGAAAAAAAGCGGCAGCCATTTTTATGCTAATGAAGTGGGGGAGATTTAAATCCCCGCTTCATTAGCAATTGCGATACGTCTAATTTGCATCCCTTTTACGAAAAAGGAATGTAATCTAGACGTAGCCTTAATGTGATATGCCAGTAATAACATTCTGCCAAAATGGAACTGTCTACACAACAGAATGAATGGACACAAATCAGACAGCAAGAATAGTAACATAAAAACTAGTGGGGAGAACATTTTAACCTCTCTGGACACAGAGTTACAGACTTTAAAGTTGCCATCCTCAAGCAAAAATATATAAAATAAAAATAAAAAACAGGCTTCAAAGTGAATTCATATGCAAATCTGACACCAGCAGAATGAGTCTGAATAGGAAGTAGGGATGTTAAAATGCGGTTAATTGACTAGTCAAGTAGTCGATGGAATTTCCATTGACTAGTCAATAAGCACTTCCGCACTCCTTTGAGGGGCTCTTGTACATTTCAAAGGAGGAGTGCGGAATTCCGTGTACAGCTGGTGGCTAGCAGGAAGTCACGCTGATTCCAGGCTGCATGCAGGTGCCTGCTTTGAAATGTATAAGAGTACCGAGCAGGCTCCCTTAAAGTGGATGTGCTACCTCGACTTAGAGCCTTGACTAAGAGCAACTTAGAGCATTGAATGACTCTGGGAAGTAGTTATATCAAAATAGCAGCAGTGGCGCGTCCACACAACTGCTATTCTGAAAGAACTATTTTGAAATAAGTGGAAAGCAAGAGTTATTATTTTGAAATAACCAGCCCCTTATTTTTAAATACCAGGCTTGGTAGTGTGGACACTCCACTTATTATTTTGAAATAATTTATTTTGTGTAGACCAGGGCTGAGAGCCCACATCCTGCCCTACTCAAACTCCTGCCCCCCACACCTGCCTAAAGCTTTGGGAGGGAGTTTGGGGGCTGGATGCATGCTCTGGGATGGGGCAGGGGTTTGTGGGGCAGGCTCTGGGAGGAAGTTTGGGGGCAGAAGGGTGGGTATGGGCCCAGGGAGGAAATGGGGATGCCATGCTTACATGTGGCACCCCCCTCTGGCAGCAGCTCCTGGAAGTACTGGGGGTATCCGTGTACAGGACTCCGGAGCAGTGTATAGAGACCTCCCCTCCCCCCCCAGGAGTCACAGGACGTTGCCAGTAGCAGCATAGCTCATCACTATGCTGCCAGTGGTGACAGTGCCCCCCCCCCCCAGGCCATTTTAAATCACCCAGGGTGGCAGCCAGGGCAGGAGGATGCAGGCACAATGGGGAGGGGCGGCTCTTCTCTCTCTCTCCCCTCCCCATCTCCCTTTTCCTTTACTCTTCTCTCAGACATGCAATCTTCTTTGTGACCCTTCACTCCCCCTCTGTCCCGTCCTGTCTGTCCTCTCGGCTTCATCTGAACTGTCTGGCTTGTGTTCCTGCCGTGCCTCCTTCTGAGCACCGACTCCTGGCATGATTTCCATCTTCCCATCTCAGAGCTATGAAGCTGCACTTATCAAAGGCGAGGAGGGAACACTCCCTGGGCTGCGAGCAGCTCTCCTACTGAAAGGGTCTCCCTGGCGAAAAGTGCCACAGAAGCTAGGACAGATGCATGGATCGGTCTCACTGAAATCATGCTAGGAAAGGAGGTGGCCATGGTTTTATTGCTGAATGCTGCTCAGGCGAGAGAGATCAGTGAATACAGATCAGGTACCCCTACTCACCCCCCACCTGCCCCACTGAAACAGTCATCCGTTGTCCGAAATACGTGTACTCTCTGGCTAAGCCATGCCACTGGCTGCAGGTTTTAGCTCTATTGGATCCCCTTCCCCGCCATATCTGCTCGGGATCAGTCCGTTTATGACACGTGCCCGCAAATAACCTCATGGAAACAACAAGCCAACCCCCTAGCCCGGGCTGATTTTCTGACTCCCACCAGCTGCGTTGGGCTGAGCTCAGGCAGCCTCGCCATTGGCTGGCGGGATCACCTCAGCTCTCCGCCTCCTAGCGCTGAGTCACAATGCAATAGGCGGAGGCAAGCTGGGAAGCGAGGGCCCCGCCAGGGGGATCCCAGACGGCGGCCCCTGTGAGCCATGAGTGCGTGTGTGAGACAAAGGGCGGCGGGGGCCGCGGCTACGCGCTGCTCCCTCCAAACGGGAAGCGTCGTGGAGAAACTACAGCGTGGCCCGCTTCCAGGCTGTCTGCCCCTTCCCACCCCCACCCCCAGCACGCAGTCCCTCGGAGAGCGCTGGGTAACTCCAGATCGTGTCCAGTAAAAGCTGTCGCCTCCCACCTTTTCTCTCGCTATTCCCAGACCAAGTCCCGTGCGTGGAAGGCTGACAGGATCGAGACCTTAATCGGTCACTGGGGGATTTGCTGCAGGGAGGCCATGTGATGAGCAGCCGCATTTGCAAAGGCCAATACTCCTTCCCATTTAGCAATCCTTTCCTTTCAAGTGCCCCCTTGGTTTGTGATCAAGCTGTCGCCTCCCACCTTTTCTCTCGCTATTCCCAGACCAAGTCCCGTGCGTGGAAGGCTGACAGGATCGAGACCTTAATCGGTCACTGGGGGATTTGCTGCAGGGAGGCCATGTGATGAGCAGCCGCATTTGCAAAGGCCAATACTCCTTCCCATTTAGCAATCCTTTCCTTTCAAGTGCCCCCTTGGTTTGTGATCTAGTATTTAGCTGCTGCTTTTTTAGGGGGCTGGTCCTCCCAGGAGTGTCAGGTAAAAGTGAACTGTAATTTGGGCTTTTTCCTCTTCTTTATTTTTGTGTGGGGCCAGCTTATACAATTAGATCCCATGTTTCTCTCCCTCCCGCCCCCAGGTGACTGCATAGAATAGGGTTTCAGAGTAATGTCGTTAGACCTCTGTCGTTTCTAATGCACCCTACTGAATCCATCCCATTAAATTCGGCAGGACTTTTCCACGGGGCAGGCAAATTTTAAGTGCATCGCACACGCTGAGATCTGTCTGCACTGAATTGTGAGAATTAAAAAAACAAAACCCCACACCCCTGAGTGAACATTAAAACTCCAAGGAAGTGGAGTTTCCTTACTTAGAGCCTGATCCAAAACCTATCAAATCAATGACAAGAGTAATTGACTAAAGGGAGCCTTGGATCAGCCACCAAAGACCTTATCCGGTGGGATGCTGAGTACCTCTGCCCTTGTCTGCACTGAATTGTGAGAATTAAAAAAACAAAACCCCACACCCCTGAGTGAACATTAAAACTCCAAGGAAGTGGAGTTTCCTTACTTAGAGCCTGATCCAAAACCTATCAAATCAATGACAAGAGTAATTGACTAAAGGGAGCCTTGGATCAGCCACCAAAGACCTTATCCGGTGGGATGCTGAGTACCTCTGCCCTATCTGAAGACCAGGTGAGTGAGGTAATATCTTTTATTGGCCCTGCTTCTGTCAGTCTGCGAGACTAGCTTTGGTGCCACACTGAACTCTGTGTCCTGTCTCTTTAATAATCAGGCCCTATAGCTAGATTGCATACGGCAGTGGGTGGGGTGTTGGGGACAGTCAGAACCTTAGAGGCCCCAAGCAACTGACACTTGATAGGTCTGCGGCAGTAGAGGCTGAAGGCTGCAGTTTCGAGTCTCTCCTGATTTTCCTTTCCTTCCCCCTTCCTATCCACGTCTGTATCCTGTGGTCCCTCCTCTTGGGCGGGCACCAGGCAGCCAGTGACAATCTCTGCAGCAGAGTGTTTACACACAAAGGCCAGGACGAGGCAGCAAGTAACTGAGCTTCCTTGCGGAGAGATAAGGTGAGTTGCTGGATAATATCCGTTATTGGACTAACTTCTGTTAGTGAAAGAGACAAGCTTTGGAGTTTACACAGAGCTTCCTTTTGATAATCTCCCCTACTGCTTCTTAGCCCTAGAGGAGAATGGTGTGTGTGTGTGTGTGTGTGTGTGTGTGATTGATTGATTGATGCAGTTTTGGTTTCCTCTGGTCCTGGGAACTGTTGATGTTTTCTATTTTGGGTGGCAGGGGGAATCAATAAAAGGAGAAATTGTGGAGTTTATAAAACAAGGAGGATTTTGGAGGGGGAAACAATGTGAAAGAAACAGCTGGGTTTTTCACTGCTTTGGATATGTGACCAATATCCATTGAAGTCCTGAGCTTTAAGCTGGCATCATCTTCAGGCTTTCCATCCTCTCTGGCATGGGGTGCAATGACATTGGGGTCCCTTCTTTTACCTGCTTGGATTCAGATCAGTGCCTTGGAACGTCTGAACTGCTGGGAGCATCAGCCTTTTCTCTTAATTGTTTTAGTAATAAATTAAATAATTCTGGTGAATAAATAATATAGCCTTTTTTTTTCTCCAGCTAAATTCTGTTTTCAGGTTCATCTGGGTATTTAATTTTAAATTGGTTTGCGTGAGCCATCAGTGCTAGGCTTTGGAAAGAGCCCTGCCAGATCCCCAAAGAGCTAGGATGAGAAATACTCTTTTCCTGAGGGTCGGTCTCTCTCTCTCTCTTTAGTTGTCTATTCCCAGAGGAGTATACCTCTCCACCCCCACCCTCACCCCTCCGCCTATCACCTGTCTGGGCATCTGTGGTCTTGTAAGATGAACAGGAACGTAGGAGTTTGGAGATGTGGCATCTGTTCACAACTCTGCTACAGACTGTGACATTGGGCAAATCCCTTCACCCCTCTGTACTTCATTTTTCTTATATGCATTTACATGTCCTGAAGATCTACTGATGAAACATGCTGTATTACTGCCATGAGACTACATCCCACATTTATCTGAGAGGGGAAAAGAAAGGGGGATGACTAGGCCAGGTAGAAATTTAAGGTTGCAGAGAAATAGCAGGTTATAGTAGAATTTTATGTGAAAACTGAACTTTAATTTTTGTTTCATATTGTTTTCCATCTGTAAAAGCTAGCAGTTGTTTTGAGTGATATATCTGCCTTGCTTTTCAGATGAGGATTTAAACTTTCATGATGTGCTTTAATATAAGGTTTTATATAAGCATCATTATATTCACCCTCATATTTGAGACTGCTTCAGTGTGAAGAATTTATTTTGTGTTTTGAAGAATGTATATTTTGTGTGAATTATTTTTTTATTATAAGACAGTATTGTCAGCTGCATTATGTAGCAGCCTGTCCAATAATATTTAGGTAACCAAGATGATGTATTCACAGTTGGTGTGTTCTAAACCTTAACTGCTATGATTTGGGGTCAGTTTTTCTCTTTCACATGCAAACTCATTGACCTACCAGCAGACCCCTTAACCAGTTTGTTCTGGGTTTTTTGTTTGTTTGCTTGTTTTTACTACCATGTCAGAAAATATATAGCAACAACTTTTAAGCAGCTGTAGATAAGGATTTGTCATTGTCAGCATTTCCATTATAAAGTCTCATAAAAATTTCTGCTTGCTTTAAAACTGGTATAATTCCTGGAGATAATTTTGCTGTGAACTAGTTTTTATTTGGTTTTCATTTTAAATTTATTTGACAATCTCAAAGATAAGCCTGAGGAAAAATAAGAGCAATGGAACATTAAATCTATAATAGCTTTGTTTTAAGATAAGATCTTCATGGTATTAGTCCAGGTGTAGTCTTCATGCCAATATTTGCTTTCTTGATTCATGAAAATACCCCATTCACTTCAGTATGACATTGTGTTGGTAGGAAGATAAATAGAATTTGATCCTAGGCTCATTTCATATATCTTACACACATATATTTGCATATACACATAAAATGATTATCAGAACAGCTGAAAATATAACCACATAGAGTTGAATATTCCACTGTTTTTGAATCCATGTACAGGTTGAACCTCCCAAATCCGGGACACTCTGGTCTGGCAACATCCATGGTCTGGTAGGGCCATGGTTCTTGCTGGACCAAAGAGCTGCAGAGGTGGGAGCAGGAGCCAGCGGAGAGAATGTGGGCTGGGGAGTCCTGCTGGGCCAACAGCAGCTGAACGAGGGTGATGGCTCGGGGAGCTCACACCCCTATCAAGGAACCCCTGGCATCATCTGGGCCAGGAAGCTGGGGAATTCCAGCTGCAGTGGGGCTTCTGATGGCAGGCAGCTTTGCTCAGAGATCCCCTCTCCTCTCTCCCCCCCCCCCGCACCCTGACTTGGAACCCCAGGATACCCCTGATGGCAACGGGGCCGGATTGGGCAGTCCCGGCCATGGAACCCGTGGCTGAAACTGGGCTGGCAGAGGCTCATGGCCCTGGCTAGGGAACCCCAGGGAATTCCTAGCAGCAGCGGGGGTAGCCCTAGCAGCGGCACAGTGTGGCCTGGCAGCCCTGGCTGTGGAACCCCCCCATGGCTGTGGGGCTGGTGGTAGCAAGGTGGCCCCGGCCCGGGAACCGTGAGGAACACAGAGTGGCAGTGTGGCCGGCAGTGGCTAGGCTGTACCGGACAGGAACTTGGGGAGATCTTGGGGCAGTGTGCAGACAGTAGATGGGGAGCCCATGCCAGGCCACCATTAGCAGGGTCAACACCAGGGCAGGGAGCCCGCGAGAGAGCAGCCCAGGAGCGGAGCAGCCAACTAGGAATATAATAGTATATAGTTGATTAACCAATAAACAAAAGCTTGTAGGTTAATGCTACAGGCTACGCTCATTTCCCTCTCCCTGCCAGTACATTTTTTAGCAGGCTGGCCAGCAGCCTGGCTCAGTCCTGGCTTGCAACGGGTCCAAGACCTACCTCTGCTGCAGCTCTGTGTTCAAAGTGTATTAGGAGCTGGGCGGGCAGGTAGCCTGGTTCATTCCTGGCTCATGCTGTGTCCAGGACCTACCCCCATTTCAGCTCTGCATTTAAAGTGTATTAAGAGCCAGGTGGGCAGGCAACCCAGCTCAGTTTATGGCTCAGATGCTCCTTAGACGGGCTGCTGCCTCTTTCTCATAAGCAGCAGCACAGGGCAACAGGCAGTTGGTCTGTGAGGGGAGCTGGTTTTTAAACTGGCTCCCATCATAGACCAGCTCCCACCTGGCACCCCATGCTGCTGCCTCTGATACAGTGGCTGCTGGCCCCGCCCCAGGTACTACAGAATAGTCTACTAACCAATACAATTTCATGAGGTTACTTGACTGTTCAGTTAACTGATATTTAACATCCCTACAGCGAATAAGGAAGTACTGACCTCCCCTGATTCCGCAAATTTCCTGGTTCAGGACAGCTCCAGTCCTGAGGGTGGCAGACCATGGAGGTCCAATCCATTCTGCATTGATTTATTTACCTAAATCTCCTGTGATTTCAGTGGAAGAGCCTGGGTCAGTGCCAAAAAATAGCCTGCTGTATTTTCTCCAGTTATTTTAAACCTTTTTAATTTTATGTATCAATTTGTTCTTTGCTGTCTTTGTTGCATTTATTCTAACCCCATTGGTAAAGTGTCTGAACAGCTCAGAATCTGTACTGAATTTATCCTCACAACACTCTTGTGACGAGAAAGGGAAAAGTGCATATTGATAGTCTCTCTGTGTCTCAGTTTTCTAAGTGCTTATGGCCCCTGCGGTAATGGAGGCAGTTGAACCTGGGTTGCTCCATTCCCAGGCTAGCATACTAACCACTTGCTGTCCTTCCTGCTTTTGCACATGAGGATTCATTACTAGCAAACTTCCAGTCTTCACTTTGAGTGATCTGTCTCTTTTTGGTTTAAAGTGCTTTTATACACATCTAAACATAATACTGCATTTTGTATGAAACATTTCAAACTGAAAGACTTTCTAGGCTTTTAGAGTGACAGATGTTGAAAGCCATGGCAATTCAGTACAAGGTAATTGGCTGCTTTACAATGGCCTATTGGGTAAGATAAAGAAATACAAGTATTTAAACAAAGACATTCTTGTTTGATATGTGCTTGAATTTCAAACATGAAGATGCAGAAGTGAACTGAGACTTCACCAGGGTTGGGCTTCAGAATATCTCTGTTATTTGAAAACTCATGGTAGGGCCAAGGGTTGCTACTTTTCAAATTGTTGGTTACACCCCCATTGCTCACATCCCCTCCTCCCCTGCCTGGGCTCCACCACTCTCCCAAGCTGGACTCCCTCTGATCTGCAGCTGGGACAGGCTAATGATCTGGCATCTCCCCCCACTCCGAGGTAACTGGACTTTTGATTTCCCTGCCAGTCCCCTTTTCAACTGGACTTTCTGGTAAAAAAACTGGCCACCTGGCAATCTAGTGTAGCACATTAACAGAAGTCAGGTTACTAGGTAGTTAAATACAACACAAGTATGTGGGTGATAGGGGCATGTTTCAGCAGCTAGGAGGTGGCCTGATGAAGAGGGGGAGCAAAAAGGGCAACTCGCTCAGGGTCTTCTCATTCTTTGGGCAGCACCTGGAGCCCTTTAAATTGCCGCCAGAGCACTGTGCAGCACGCTTCCAGTGTCTCTAAGGGCTGTGGGGGAGGAAGGGGACCTGTCATGCTCCAGGGCATGCTGACAGCTCCTCCAGCCTCATCCCTTTGGGAGTGCGGAGCCACTCACCCTCGCCTCCTATTCCCTCCCCTCCTGCTCAGGGACCTGGTGCACCTGGCTGGAGAGCCTGATTTTTCTCCTGGGCTACAGCTTCTGGACCACGCTGGGTTGGCCTTTGGTACTGGCTCTGGCTAATAAGTAGGGTTGCCAGATCATTTCACCAAAAATACCGAAACACTCCCCCACTCCCCCCAAAAAAAAACACCGGGGAAGAAATTCTGTTGAGGAACAAAAAAGGGGGTGACATTATGTTCTTATGACCAAAGTTGTTAAGTGAAAAAAAAAAAAAAAAGGACCCAAAATAAAACAGCATT